CCCTTGTAGCCGTAGAGCAAGTTTGAAAGATCTAGGAGCGGACGAGGCTATTTAGTCGAGAAGGAATTGCTGAGGTCACGTGGTGCTCGCGCGCCTCGTGTGTGTTGATTTGGCCTAAAGCCAGCACGCACACGCCTAATTACCTGGTATCGCTGAGTGCGCGCAGGTGGCGATGGCTCAAATCGCGCATGTAAAGGACGCTCATCGCAGGTTGGCGACGGTGGACGCACATTCTCCTGGCACTACCAGGAGCCAAAGCGCCTTGGTCCGAAACCGGTTCTGGGCGACCACCCACGGGCGACCGTTCTCACAAACTCCAGAATGACATTCTCGTGTTATTTTCGCTATGCTTGTAAAGTACAAACGAAGTTAATATGTCCTCTCAGGTGGTGCAGCCACTTTACATAAAGATAAGCGGGATTTTTTCGTACAGTTCGTGCCAGGTTCTTTTGTTGAGCAGCTATGTGCTGACGCGCAAGTGCGCGAGCATCGAGTTTCTTGCACAGTCAGCACTTTTCGGCCATGACTCATAACTCTCACGTGACTGTGCAAGCAGGACAACAGCCTGCAGAAAAGCGCATACCAAATATTGCACTTTTGCTTTTGCAGAAGTGGTTGTTACACCAGTCATGAGTTTATATTTTTTCTTTACAGGAACACGCGTCTACAGTCCACCAGAATGGATTGAAGAGTCGCGTTATGATGGCCTCGAAGCAGCGGTTTGGTCCCTCGGCATACTTCTCTTTGATATGGTATGTGGTGACATCCCATTCCGCAAAGATTCAGAGATTTGCAATGGGCACCTACAATGGCGAAATCAAGTTTCGGAAGGTGAGCTTACGTTCTCTCTACTTTTTTTTTTCCTTGTTTTGCCCGCTTGCAGGCAAATTTGTTTATAACATTGCAACTGTAATCGAATACTGCTGTGATTTACAGAGTGCAAGGATCTAATACGACAATGCCTTGCACGTGAAGGCAACGAAAGACCAACATTGGAGGAGATTTTGGGACATCCATGGATGCAAGTCCCAGAAGGAGTAAACGGAGCCGCAAAGAACGAGCTGAATGCGGGTCGACATAAGCTCGCTAGCGTCCCGGACCGTCTAGTTACAGAAGCACAACCGCATCCGCATCCACGAGTTCCACTAACAGCCACACGCTCCGATCAGTTCTTGCTGACTCCATCAACCAGCAGCAGTTTGAATGCAGCTGCATCTTCATCAACAAATACAGCAGCGATTTTCGAAGGAGCTACACTTGAACGAGTTCCACACCCTGAGGTTGGTATTATTTTGAGGAATCCG